ACCCAAAAAATTACAGACACTAAAAATCTTTAGCAGTAAAATAACTAAAACTCCTAGAAGTACTAAGTTCTAACTCCTTAAAAGACAGTTTTACAAAATTACTTTTACAACTTTACAAACTAATTACTAGCTTAAATAACTCATAAGCTAAAACAGTAAAATAATTTTACTGAGAGCAGCTTCTAAAGCATATCTCTAACACTCTTCTTCTTGTTGTTCTGCAATTTGTGCTTCATTTGATTGTTGTGGTCCTTTCTCTTTGCAAATAATCTCAGCATGCCCAAGTTTATGACACTTTCTGCATCTCATATCAGGTTTTCTCCAACATTTGAAGTGTGGATGGTTTCTCTTCCTGCAATGCTGGCAAGGTGGATATTTTCCACCTTTGTTGTTGTTGCTATTATCAGTTGCAACAACTTCTGTTGATGTAGAATAGCTCTTCTTGCCCTTCTGCTTCTTGCCTTTGCTGCAAGGGTTGAATAGTTGCCTTGCTTGCAAAGCTCCTTCAACATCTCCCTCGTTCCTCATCAACCTTCTTTGTTCCTGTGCTTGCAAAGAGTTTAAAAGTTCCGCCAAACTAATGTTTGACAGATCTTTTGTATTTTCCAGCGAAGCAATTGTTGCTCTAAACTTCTCAGGTAAAGTAACAAGAATTTTCTGCCCAATTCTTTTGTCAGAAAGTTCGGTGCCAAGTAACTTTACCTTATTTTCCAGATTGATAAGCCTATCCGAGTACTCCTTAATAGTCTCAGATTCTTTCATTTTTTTGCATTTCAAATTCCCTCACCAGGTTTAAAACCTTCATGCCTCGAATTCTTTCATCTCCATAATATTCTTTTTCCAGAAAGTCCCAGATTGCCTTGGCCGAATTAAGAGTCATGATTCTGGAAAAAATAGTAGGAGATAATGCAGCATAGAGACACGCCTTCGCCTTTGACTTCCTGGTCTTCTTCTCTTTGTGAGTTTTGATCTGAGTCATTGTAGGATTGCATGGTAAAGGAAAAACTTCATAATCCTCCTCTACTGCTTCCCAGAGACCACATGCATCCATGTAGGCTTCCATCCTGACAGCCCAAACCTGATAGTTTTCTCCATCAAAAACTGGTGGAGCAATTGATGAAAAAACACTCTCACCTTCCATAATTCATTAAGGCGATTTTATGGATGGTCTGATTAAGTGTTTGGGTTTTCACTCAGTTGATAACTCACACTCTCACAAGTCCCTTAAAAACAGAAAAAGCTCTGATGCCATTGTTAATGCTATTGATAGCAAAGAGCAGTAAAGTGACTTGGAAAATCTGTGTTTTTATTGATCATGAAAGCTTGCTTAAATACATAAAGTCAGTAGCTGACTATCAATAAATACTGCTAAAAATATGCTAATTAACTCTATTGCTAACTAAAAAAGAGGAATAGAATTGCTAACAGACTTTCAAAAGAAAAACAGAATCCTAAATATCTGCAAGAGAGTCAACACAATCTGGTGTGTATTCCTCAACTTCTGCAGCCTAACTAAGCTCCTGATTTTATTGACTGCAACAACATTGCAATTTTTGAGGCAACTGCAACAGTAAGTTACTAACTTAAACTTTGCTCTATATTGCTTTCGATTTATTCAGATAATCCCACGGTTCTCTTTTTGTTCTAATTCCTGACATTTATGCTCTATAATCAGTTATGCTCCTTCATACTGGGCAGAAAGAGGCGAGTGATGGGCACTACTCATCACAAGAAAGCAATCATGGAGATAGAAAGAGTAAAAAAATGACTAAGTAAAGAGATGAGGTTTATCCTTATGTTTTGAACTTGCTTCTTGGTACAAGGGGAGGGGTGATGAATTCTAGTTCTTCTTCTGCCTAATCTTTAGAACCGCTTGGAGATTGAATCTTTGAAACCATGTGCCTAAGAGGGCGAGGACCTTTATAGCCATAATTCTTCCCACGGTCTACCTAATTGTGATTCCATAATAAAGAAACAGGCCTGATATGTTGATCTCATTGCTTTTATAGACTATAGGTCAGGTCTTATATATAGTGACATAGGTGTTGCCTGCTCTCTGATTTTTGGTTTTTGATCCTTTTTTTTTTTTTCAGTCATCACTTCACTCTTCTTTCCTGGTTTGACTGGAAAAACTATATGTTGTTTTTCTAGGATTTTGCTTCTTGACAAGCATTATGGTACAAGTCATGTTGCTTCTAGGTGGTTCTGCAATGGATTACTGCCATAAACATATATGCTGCGAATTTTCTTATGCCCTCTTGATGTTATAATATAAACCTTGGCAGGGAGGATAAAGCTAGTAGTACGTTGGTGATAGGGAGGATAAAGGATCGTACCTAGAGTTCTTTGTTTTGCACTTAATAGGTAAACCATGAGATTCCTTATCTTTTCAATTGGACTCTCATCTAATTCGTAACTAAACTCCATGCCTCTATAGCATTTTCTTGAATAACTCAATAGCAGACATTGCATACTTAGGAAGTAGCAAACTGATCTTATTGCATCAATCCTTGAGGAAGTAGCAAGCAATTGAATGTCTACTCAGTCAGCTCACTGCTAAAAGAAAAAGTTCAAAAAGGAATGAAGAAAACCTTGCACGTTCCAACCTTCCTGCAAGAAAAGCTTACATTTGTGTGATGAACTACAAACCATCTAATTCAATTAAAGAAATCTTGAAGCGTTCTCCTCTGAATGGCTCATGTTAAAATAAATTCTCAATCGGAGGAAAACCAACAGACGAGAAAGTTTATGTATTAACCATTATTCTATTACACACTTGACACAGAAAATATTGGAGGACTTCCCATTGAAGGACGCGTAAGTTGAAGGAGCTCTGCGTCTTCATGAAAGCCTGAAGACTAAAGCTAAAAATTCAAGCTGAAATGCTTAAGTCTCGGTCAATACAAGAATTTCTCTATCAGAATAAAATAGGAAGATAGAGGGTACATTTATTTCTTATTTGGTTGACTACATTTGCTCAGCGTTTGTCTTTATTTCCACCAGAATATACCAATTATAAACATCAACCTAACTATTTTCTCCAATAAGATAGAGGGTACATTTTTTTGTTTCTTATGTTTTGTTAAGGGGATATACATTTGGTAAGTGAAATAAAAGTTGTATATGTGTAGAGATGTATCATGTTACATAACAAGGAAGATTAAGGAAGCGGTTTCGTGTTCAACAACTGTGATGTTTTTTTAACTGGACAAACCTTCACCTTTCGCCTCATCCTTTTTGGTTTGGGGACGACAAGTACTCCGTCTCGAGTAGGATCGGGGGTGAGGTAAGGAGTAGTATAAGAGAGGGTCGGTCATATAGGAAGGAATCTAGCGCACATTGCTTAGACGGGTTCTAAAAAGGCATATAGAAAGGAATGGAGAAATCTGGAATGAAGAAATTGAATATGGAAGAAAGACAAAGAAATGAGAGAATATCGGATGCTTTTTCTTTGGATTTGAGCTGAATCTTATCTACTTTAATCTCCCTAGATTGGGTTCGACTTTTGAGCCTTTCAACAATTAACCAATTTAAGCTTTCGAATATGTATTACACATTCAAATTAGTTTGGACGAGAGGAGATATAATCCGATTCTTTTAGATATTTTATATAAGAAACCCTGCCCATCTAAAACATAGACGGGATATATCTCGCCAAACTGGATAAAGTTATAATCTTAATCTAGACTCTGAAAGAATATGTATGTTGATTCATATCAATTAATTAGAAATTAATTCGAGGGAAGAACAATGCCTACAAATTAATCATGCGCCAGGAACCAGATTTGAAATGGTCGATGATTTTTAGTCCTCTGCTCTACTAACTGAGCCATCCCGATTTTGTATCCTCATTTTATTAGAGAAATGTGGTCTATGTCAATTAAAAAGATAAAAGTAGATTAATCTTTTTTATCAAAGCCTGAGAATTTCTTTGATCTTCAAAAAGATTACTTTGTACGTTTCAATATGAGTAATGATATTGATAGGGAATAACTCTACAAGGGATTCCTTGCTCAAAGATGTTTATTTCTATGTGTATCAATCACAAGACTTGTGATAAGAGAGAGCCATTTATGCTCAAATCCATTTCCAAAACAATAGAGTGAATGAGAAAGATAAGAAAATTGGAACCACTAAGGAAAGAGGGTCGGTTAAACAGTTGGGGAGTGAAATTAATAGTCTTTTTGGGGATGGAGGCCTAGAGGGATTTGAACCCTCACGATTTTTAAAGTCGACGGGCTTTACTCTTACTATATATTTTATTGTTGCCGCTATTGATATGTCGAACAGTACTCTATCTTTATTCTCGTTTGATTAATCAGTTCTTCAAAAGACCTATCAGACGACTGTGCATGCTATGGTTTGTTTTCTATAACTGCTCGATGTGAATGGAGATATACAAGGTTGGATACTGTTGTCCTGAGACGAATATTCATGTATCTCACCTTAACAAACAACTATATTGCAAACATTGATGGCTGAGAGAGTACTATGCTAGATTATTAGTGTCACATCTTACCAAACAATTTGGATTCTCTAAAGTTAAGTCACTCCTCCTTTTCATGTTTTCCACTTCCAAGACCTTAAAGCTGCTATTTTGATGAAAAGAAGATAATTGAATACTTTTAAATCAAGATTCGGACTAATGTAAGATGATTATATATAAATAGTTGGAGTATATAAAATAAAAGTGCACTCCTTACCTAATAAATTAGACAAAGATAGCATATAAATAGTGGAGTATATAAAATAAAAAAAAATAGAATGAATTGAGCAAAACTTGAAGAGCGAAAGCATTATCAAGGAAATGTAACATAGATTGAAGCTTCTGCACAGTTTTATGAACAAAACACTGCTCACTATGTTCCAAACTTCCAATAAATAAAGTAACACGTTTTCAATTTTGAGATTCCTTCAAAACACTAACGCAATTCTATTTACAATTTTATTTTGGGCATTCACAAACTTTAAATATTTACATTCACTTAATTATACAAAGAGTTTTGAGATATATAGTAATGATATTCACTAATTTCCTAGCTTATTTACGTTCCTTGTAGCTTGTTTACGTTACGTTTAGCTTGATTATTGACTAAGATCAAGTGCATTTGCTACACTCAAGTTTCATTAAAGAATATGTTGTCTTTTCACTCTATTCTCATTGTGATTCAACTTTCGATCCTATTATAATTAATCGATAATAGTGTAATATTTATTTGTCTTTTAGATAGCTGTGAAATTAAACCATAGGGTCAGGTAGGGCCATGGAAAGCTTATTTGGGTGGGAAAAAAGTCACAAACACCAAATACTTAAAATTAGCTTATAGTATAAAGAAAGATAGAATAGGCATTGTCTCCTGATACAAAGTAAGTACATTTAAATGTTAAGATTATAGTAATAACTCCCTTTAATCATAGAAATGAATACACATATGGAACTACGGACAAACAGGAAATACGAATATGAATATGAAAGAGTAAATATAATAAACCCCCTTTTAGCTGTCAACTTTTTGTGAGTTACCTACTTAAACGATAGGGTGTCCCAAAAATCTCCCTAAACTATATTCTCCTTCATATTAAAACCTCTCGGTTGAATTCTTAGAGGTACGTCCGGTACACGCTACTAATTAGCTAAAAACGTGCCATGTAGCACTACACGTGGCTATTTAACTCAGCCTAAACCTCCCCCTCCCCAAACTATCCGGTGACCCCAAAATCCCCTTGAACTATATTCCCATATATATTAAAAACTCCTCATTGAATTCCTGGAGGTGTATCTGGATAACTATTGGAGAACTTCCCATTTAAGGACACTTAAATTGAAGGAGCTCTGCGTCTTAATGAAAGAATGAAAACTAAAGCTAAAAATTGATGCTGAAATGCTTAAGTCTCGGTCAATAGAAGAATTTCTCTATCAAAATAAAATAGAAAGAAGGTATTCATTTTTTATTTCTTATTAGGTTGACTACATTTACTCAGTGTTAGTCATTATTTCCATGAGGAAATTTCCAATTATAAACAATCAACCTAATTATTTTCCCCAATAAGATAGAGGGTACATTATGTTTTGTCTAGAGGATATACATTTGGTAAGTTAAATAAAGCAATCGTGTTGCTTGTATCTATGCAGAGATGTAC